GAGCAGGATGGTTCCCTTTGGCTCCGCCACTGAGTGGACCTTGATTTCCACAAGCAGAAGGAACCAAAATATTGTTCCGCGGGACTTGCGCTTTGCACTTAAGGGTTAGGGTATGACGTCATAAATTTTGTTTTGTTTGATGACTTCATTAATTCTGAAGGAGAAATCGATATTCACAAACACAGTAGATATTTCTTTATTAATTATAAATGGCAACAAAATAACTCGTGTTTCGACTATTGTCGAGGACAAATTAACAAGTCCTATATAAATAGCACATATTTCAACTGACACACTGTTACATACTTCCTCTTCTAGACACCTGATATCACTTTTCATTATGAAATACTTACTTATAAATGATTAATATACTTCCTCTTCTAGACACCTGATATCACTTTTCATTATGAAATACTTACTTATGAATGATTAATATACTTCCTCTTGTAGACACCTGATATCACTTTTCATTATGAAATACTTACTTATAAATGATTAATATACTTCCTCTTCTAGACACCTGATATCACTTTTCATTATGAAATACTTACTTATAAATGATTAATGTACTTCCTCCTGTGAAAAAATCAGTAGGTGCTACAAATGTTTTGTCAAAATGTTGTTTTGGATTTTGTGTATTGTTTTGCGAATCGGATCGTTAGTATTTGGTTTATTTATACAGTTATTTCAAAAACGGACATTGCGCAATATGAAGACAAAACGAGACGGAACAAGGCAACCCTGTTTCTAGTCTGGTCAGCAGTAAAATTCTCGCCTCTTATCTCCTCTACGACTGTATAATATGTCTAAAAATGTCATTAAAATACTGCAAGTGATATTAATGAGAAATTATCTCGTGGTCAAGCATCACTTAACGTGTCACTGGCCAGCCCCTGACCAGTCTAATTCAAATATACATTACATTTCAGATAACATCATTAAGTTCAGACCATTATCACCTTTTCTTGATTATGTTTAATTTTGACTGAGATTGTGTAACCGGTGTACATATTACTGTATTCGCACATTCGACGATTAATCGAATTTTGCAGATTTTTAAAAATAATTATTGGACAACATGTAATACAACTTATACATAGTATAATCATAGTCAATGACTTTGCGTTGATCAAGATATAAACACGAATGAACGAACTATTAATTACATGTACTGTATTCGCACATTAGATGCTATAAATAGAATTCTAAAAGATTATTTTGTAACAATTGAATTATCACTTTCATAATTCAAGTCGTAGTCTTTAAATGACTTTGATAAAGATATTAATATAAGCACACATTATCAACTTGAAATCTGTTTATAATTATAAACATTTAACATCATTATAAGATTAACAGTTCTGCTTTGAATCGGAAATTCCATTTTAGTTTAATCAAAATAAGCACAAATTTCGTTCCGTATTTCTAAGAGCTTTTACTTTTTACTCAACCTCTAACAAGAGTGATTAAGAAAAAAATCAAAAAATCAAAGGTACGGAACGAAATATTCGAATAAATATAATTAGTAAAATTCAGGTGAACCATGAATATGCGAATACAATAATTCGTTCGTTCCCATCACAGTGAAAGTAAACATAATTAAAGATGGGTTCCCTTATTTTCATTTATGAAAATGAAAATGCTAATATTTACATGAATAGAAAGTAGAGGTGTTCTAATGACTTTGAAAAATATCAGTTTTTTTCACATGTCCATAATTAATTCATAATTAGCTAAATTAGAAGAGAATTACCAGCAGAATTCCAATGAATGACCGATCAAGAAAGGTCAAAAAAGTATTTTCTTGTTTATCTAGGCTGTACATACATGGATATTTATGATTGGTTAAAACTCTTTAATTATATGCAATAAGAACATCATGATATAATTAAGGATACATGATAATTCATTAGAAACACCAATTTATCGAATATTTTTCTTTTTTGGACACTAAAAAATAAGGAAACCTATCTTTATGAAAAAATGCTAAGGAACTGAATCAATGTTTTTCTCTGACCATATATAATACTTGTTAATATTGGATTGTCTTAATGATACAGACTTAAGCTTAGTGTCAGAAGAAAATTTACAATCGAAGCTCGGGGATTAAACTAAAATACAGGCTTTTAACGCATTACTCTACACGATAGCTCTTGGAATATAATCCACTATTTTTACTATAAATTAAATAAAGATTCCATCATTCTGCCACCATTCACATTATACCATTGTACTATTTGTTAAAAGAAAATCAAAATCAAAATTGTGGATTGTATTCAGGGGACACGTGATCGCCATCTCCGCAATATTGTCCATAGAAGAAGGAAACATACAAAGAAAGGTTTTGTTTGTTGAGAGCTAAGAAAATAATTTTTTTCCGAGTCCTGTCAAATCAAAAAGTCTGTTAATATAAAAATTGACAGAAAAAGTAATTATGTTTTTAAAATAGCTATTTTATATGACCTAATTTGAAACCGACAAAAAAATTAAATTTAATGTTCAAAATGATACTTTTTAAAAATTCATTGTTGTTTCACCACCGAGACAGGCAGTGGGTAGTATAAAGAATTTAAAATATATGAAGATAGACAGTGGGAAGGAGAAAAAACACATATAGATATAAATGTTTTTGATTAATCTAACAGAGATGAAATGTGTAGGCCTACTCGGGATCATCTTAACAATGTCAAGCTATTATGAACTTCATCTTCACAATATCAAGCTATTACCAATCTTCACAATGTCAAGCTATTACCAATCTTCACAATGTCAAGCTATTACCAATCTTCACAATGTCAAGCTATTACCAATCTTCACAATATCAAGCTATTACCAATCTTCACAATGTCAAGCTATTACCAATCTTCACAATATCAAGCTATTACCAATCTTCACAATGTCAAGATATTACCAACTTCATCTTCACAATGTCAAGCTATTACAAACTTCATCTTCACAATGGCAAGCTATTACAAACTTCATCTTTACAATGTCAAGCTATTACCAACTTCATCTTCACAATGTCATGCTATTACAAACTTCATCTTCACAATGTCAAGCTATTACAAACTTCATCTTCACAATGTCAAGCTATTACAAACTTCATCTTCACAAAGTCAAGCTATTACCAACTTCATCTTCACAATGTCAAGCTATTACAAACTTCATCTTCACAATGTCAAGCTATTACCAACTTCATCTTCACAATGTCAAGCTATTACAAACTTCATCTTCACAATGGCAAGCTATTACAAACTTCATCTTCACAATGTCAAGCTTTTACAAACTTCATCTTCACAATGTCAAGATATTACCAACTTCATCTTCACAATGTCAAGCTATTACCAACTTCATCTTCACAATGTCAAGCTATTACCAACTTCATCTTCACAATGTCATGCTATTACAAACTTCATCTTCACAATGTAAAGCTTTTACAAACTCCATCTGCACAATGTCAAGATATTACCAACTTCATCTTCACAATGTCAAGCTGTTACAAACTTCATCTGCACAATGTCAAGATATTACCAACTTCATCTTCACAATGTCAAGATATTACCAACTTCATCTTCACAATGTCAAGCTGTTACAAACTTCATCTTCACAATGTCAAGCTATTACCAACTTCATCTTCACAATGTCAAGCTATTACAAACTTCATCTTCACAATGTCAAGCTATTACAAACTTCATCTTCACAATGGCAAGCTGTTACAAACTTCATCTTCACAATGTCAAGCTATTACCAACTTCATCTTCACAATGTCAAGCTATTACCAACTTCATCTTCACAATGTCAAGATATTACCAACTTCATCTTCACAATGGCAAGCTGTTACAAACTTCATCTTCATAATGGCAAGCTATTACAAACTTCATCTTCATAATGTCAAGCTATTACCAACTTTATCTTCACAATGTCAAGACATTACCAACTTCATCTTCACAATGTCAAGCTATTACCAACTTCATCTTCACAATGTCAAGCTATTACCAACTTCATCTTCACAATGTCAAGCTATTACCAACTATGCTTCACAATGGCAAGCTATTACAAACTTCATCTTCACAATATCAAGCTATTACCAACTTCATCTTCACAATGTCAAGCTATTACTAACTTCATCTTCACAATGTCAAGCTGTTACAAACTTCATCTTCATAATGTCAAGCTATTACCAACTTCATCTTCACAATGTCAAACTATTACCAACTATGCTTCACAAAGTCAAGCTGTTACCAACTTCATCTTCACAATGGCAAGCTGTTACAAACTTCATCTGCACAATGTCAAACTATTACCAACTTCATCTTCACAATGTCAAGCTATTACCAACCTCATCTTACCAAATAATATAGTATTTTATGTAAGATATTATGTTTGTGTAATCTCTCTGATGTAATAATCTATTCAAGAAAGACTATAAGATTTCGGGTTTTGTTTTGTCGCACAGATAGGCAGTACTTGGGTTATTTTATTTTTATAAATCAGAATTTGATATACATAGATTTGATAAATTTAAATTTAATGAAAATGACAAGCTTCTTGTTAGCATTGTGACAGATGACCCCTGGGGACATCACATGACATAAAGCACGTGACGTGACCCCAGGGACATCAGATGACATAAAGACAGTGCTACTTTATAATGGCCATTTTAATTGCCTCATTTAGATAACATAACAGTTTATATAGGATTCTGTCACTCTTTATGTTTATTGATACACCCCAGTTGACAACATGGTCGCTACGACAGTCAGGGCCCCTCCCTCGTCTGATAATCTTTGGGGATTGAAAAGGTGACGTTCAATTTAAAACAAACGCTTGCTTCAGTGGCGGAGCCAGGTTTACGTCAGAGGGGGGAGGGGGCGAGGGGGCGAGGGGGCGAGGGGGCGAGATATCTGAGATTGCCCGAATCTTTTACATAGTTATGAGATTTTTTGCCCCAAAAACTTGCTTTCGGGGATGCGAGGTGGGGGGGGGGGGGGGGGGGCCCCCCTCTGCCCCCCCTCCCCCCTTGGTTTCCCCCCCAGAATGAAAACCAATGGTGTGATTAGTTAAAATGGTACAGCTTAGCTAGCTTTGTCAGTCGAGAACACGAAGTTCCCCGATTAAGGAACCTCAATCAAAATCCTATTCCTGTGATTATTTAGAGCCCAAGTCGTTTGGAATTTCCATATGTCTATGCCAATTGTAACCCTGGTAATTCTCATTCATAATAAGCAAGTTAAAAAGGGTGAAGGCGCTGTGAAGTTTGCGAAACTTCTGCTGATATCATAAAACTCTACTATAAAATATTTTTTTGTTGTATCTATAGACGACATCGCTTTACGGAAACTGTCGAGATCTATCGAATGATACCGACAATATCGGCCACAATGAATTGCAGGAATTTGTAATATTTCAAGGGAGGTAAGCGTGAATTGACCACAGATTAACTTGTCAATCAAAGTTAATCTGGCTATAAAGAGATAAATCAGACGAAGGCTCGACAATTATCCCTTTATCACTTTTATCGCTTGATCTGGAGAATCAAATGAAGCGTGCTTTATAGAAAGAAAGAAACAAACAACTATTTTTTTACAAGGATAAGTCCTTTCTACCAGCTGGTTCCTTGGCTGGTTACTCATATTGAACACTACGTGGCGTTGTCTTCATTAAAACCCCGCGAGCCTTTCCCTCACGAAACGGCATTTATAAGGATTCTGAAACCCATTACTCACATCATATTTCTGTCTTTAGGACGTTAATATCAACTCAGATGAAAGAAGAACGAATATTCGCTAAAAATAATATACGGCTTCGACGTTTACGATCCAAGGGCGAAAAGGGTTTAAATATATCAAATTAATCATTGGTTTATATCATAATCACTAATTTAACAATATCAAGACTATCGTTTACACCGCGAGTATTCTATATAAACATAAATGTTATTCACTGTCTTTGGCCTCTGTTTAATCTTGTAATTTGTTAGTCTTCATCTTTAACTTCTTAAAATCATTGAACCGGAATTTTTAGCCATCAAGGGGCAGTTCGGAGAACTTTCCTAACTTCGAGAAATGTCATAAAATTTCAATGAAAAACTGATTGGTTAAGATGTGATGAACACATTTAGAAATATCGTTAATCGTAAAATAACCATAAAATAGAAAGCACTGATTGGTCGAGTCCCGAATGCGGAACAGGAAAACTCGACATTACTGCTTTGATTTGATTTCCAGATGTCGATGACCCACTTCTAGCGCACAGGATCTTGTTTTATTGTCACATTCGAAACACCTGATGGTACTTCTCGTTTGAGGATTCCAATACTATACGATTATTCTTCCCGATTTTGTCATGCTATGGAGAAGATTTTGAGTTAATGGCATTGTTTTGGTAGAACATTTTTTTAATTGAGCAACTATTGAAATCTGACAAAAGCATGCATTTCCACTATCCCTGAGTCAAGCAATCTAGATAAACAATAACAGATTAGCCATCCCTCCAGTCGCGTTTCGACGGGCTCGGCTTTGGCACCCCCAGTTCCATATCAAAGAGATCTTACATGCTTGGCGATATAGGTCCCCCTTGGCAATTCTGTGAGCCCCACTCGGTCCCCTACACTCTTACGATTTGTAGAAACACCACTTCAACCCCCAATGGAATAGATCTATCTGCCTACACATGGACCAAAACCTAGGTTAGTTTGAAATCAGGAATCATAACGTACGTTGAGAGATAATAACGATAAACCCTTATCATGTATATGATATATAATTAATATACATATGTACAACTCGTACTTGAGTTCAATTTCAAGCCGGAAGTGGTTCGAACTCTTCTGTCAATGAGTACAAAATGCACTAAGGATTAATTGAGTACTGGGGTCACTACAAGAACTACTTGGAACCAACATCAAATTAAAGTCACATTCGTTAATTGATAAATTCATTCGTTCGTTCGTTCATGGAGTATATTCATCGCATTTAAACTCATCAAACTACTTGCTATACATCTTAAAAACTATTGTTCAATCGTACCCTAATCACTTTTCAAATTAAATCTTGGGCATGTTGTTCGTCGACAATCAAACAAAAGCCTAACGTAGTGAAGACAGTCAATTTTCATTTTATTTTTCAGGCTTTTTGAGTCGGCAATTATGGTTCTTTCTTTCTACATTTGTTTTCAAATCGTTGATAAATTTATCAGTTTATAAAACTATGGTACAATTTTTGACAAATCTTTCGAATTCGTATAGAGTCATATTGGTATTTAAAAAAAAGAAATCATATAACATAATGTTTCCTTTTAAGGTTTCTTCAGAATTCTTGTCCTTTAGATCAATACGCAAAGTACACGTGTACATGGGTGGTTTCAATACCAGAAAAGTAGCACTTCAGCTACTAATATGGATGACAAGAAGATTAATAAAGGAACACTTTTATATTGGGTCTATTAAACTGACAGCATGGGGTCTAGAATGGTGCTGAACCATAAAATGTCACTTTGGTAATAAAACAAGTCAAGTCTTTGATGGTTTATGTACTAAATATAAGTACCGAACATTTTTAAAATTCATACTTGAAATTGTGACCTATTATTTTTTTAAATATTCTCAAATTTCAAGGATCGTTAAGTTTCTTTGAAGATTTATTCATTGGTGGGTAATCGGTTTCAATGAAATATAGGCTATATATTTTTTTCAGTGTAGGCGTGGGAATATTCATCGATTGAGATAAACAAACTAAACAACGTTTCAACAATTTACGTTGGCATTGAATACAGCAATGGAGAATGCTTTAATTGTTTACAACGTTTCAACAATTTACATCTTAAATGGTTATTATATAATTGAATTATATTGGGCTTTAGTATACTTCAACCATTCATGATGTTCGTAGTAAATACACAGCTGTACAGTAAACGTAAAGGCATTTTATTGCATGATGTTTATTGTGCACGACGTTTCGTTAACTTACACTGTCATCATCACATTGCCTGAGCAGTCACAAGGAATCGACTGCACACTATAAAGCAACCCCCCTCCCACCCCCGGTATTATGGGCGTTTTTATGTTATTCTATGTTTTCTGAAACTGAGACGAAACCTTGTAAATAACATCACGATATTCATTAACACTGACAAGAATACTAGGCCTATATTAGGAAGTGTAATCTAAGGGTGCCTTCACATCATGACCATTAAGCCAGCATAGGCCGGTGTATCAAAATTTATTTGAATAAGCTAAGCTAATCGGTAATAGAGTTCATATCTCATCGTCAAAAGTGTACAGAATTTGAAAGTTAAAACGATAGAAAAGAAAAGACATCTATAGAAAAGAAAGTGAAATTTTCAGAGAATATGAAGGAATTATGTGATTTTCGTTTATTTCTAGTAGTTCTGAAGACTATTTACATATATTCAAAACTTTGAAAAATGGCGACCCATGCCCTTTAACCTCACAATATTTCTGAATGATTACTATGGCCGTTTAATGTCTCATTTAAATATCTAAGGTTTGAAATCTAGCGACAAATGTTCTTCTGGCTGGATAAATCCATTGTTGTCTGAATTCTCAGCATGCGCAGACCTTGAAACAAGGTGTTAATTATATTATGATGCTGATAAGACCTTATTAACAGAGTGTTAACGTAACACCCCTCATATCATTGACCCCATTCTATCAACGCCTGCTTGAAATTTCATCAAACCCACACCAAGCCATTTTCTGGTAAACGAGCATTGATTACCTCCCCTGTGGAGACAGTGTCGACCCCTAGTGGTAGTTAATTTGCTCTGATATATTTAGAATAGACCTCGAGGGAACAGAATTAAGATAATTAGGAATCTTATTAAAATATTTCTGTCTTTGATGTATAGAGTCTAGGTCAGCATAGAGTAAGATTCGGGAAGAACTTACAATTCTCTTTTGTAGAATCGCCAGCGTCTCTGTAATTTTACCATAATTATATTAAAATCCTCAATTTACTATCTACAATGAGTGAATGAACTGCGCCAATTTAAATAGTGTATATACCAGTTCGCTGTTTGACCTAGTTGTAAGTTGTACAATATGTCGTGAGCGCGGACCTATGAGAGGCCCTCACATTTTACACACTCGAAATTCAACTGTACTCAATAGAAAATTTCAAGCATATTAAAGATGAATTCCTTATTTTTTAGTGTCAAATTGAGCAAACTATTTCATTAATTGGTGTTTCTAATGAATTATCATGTATTCTTAATCATATCATTATATTCTTATTGCATATAATTAAGAGTTTTAACCAATCATAAATGTCCAGGTATGTACAGATTGGATAAACAAAAAGTATTTTTGACCTTTCTTGATCGGTCACTCATTAGAATTCTGCTGGTAATTCTCTTTTTATTTAGCTAATTATGAATTAATTATGGACATGTGAAATAAACTGGTATTTTTCCAGGTCATTAGAACACCTCTTCGTGTAAGTATTAGCATTTTCATAAATGAAAATAAGCGAACCCATATCCCATATCTAAGTCGTATCTAGTTTACGGGAGTAGGAAGATTGGCTGAAGTCGAGGGGAATGTGATATAAGGGAACTATAATATAAGATCTGATTTGTGACGACATATGATATAATATGTACATGTTTTAACGAGCTTCAGCTTCAAAATGCGATCTAAGAATATTCGTGTAAGTCTTGCATCCAGATTTTCTTTTAATGAAAGAAACTTTAATTTGCAATCCGGACATATATAGGAAATGGCGTGTTTCGCCCTACTTTTTACTTCCGTTTGGACTAATGAAGTCAAACAATGCACTGTGTAATGGAAGAATTGTGTTAATTATATCGGCGTTCGCCTATTGATCCTTCTATAGATTTTGATAATGGGAACTTTATATACGTGCATAATTAATATCCAGAGACAAGCGTTTAATGACAAAAATATACATATACATAAATATTTCTTTGATGTTACAATATATCCCATAAAAATTCAAAATGGACATTTTTTAGATGATGGACCAAGTTGTTAACAATGCGGATCTATGTTTTGGACATTATTATGTGACTTGTAAAAACCAATTGTTAACTAATACACTAAGAGGGGTGTTAAGGGATACCAAGTGAGGGGCCGAGCATTGGCCACGAAATTTTCAAGAGGGCACATGCCAATCTTACACTATGTAAAACGATAAAAAAAATTGAAAAGGGAGGGGGGGGGGCGTG